CTGGTGCCACAGACAGAGTGTTCTGCTAGTTTCCCTGATCGTCACTCGTTGGAAATGTTTGAGGAGATTTGCAGTCCTTTCTTCTTTAGTGTCTGTCTGTATATAAACCGAATTCATCCGGAACACAATTTTTGTTTATTGGGAGTTTTTTCTTTTATTCATCCTTCATTCTGCTTTGTGCTTATAGATCAGTTATTTATTAATTTTTTTGAATGATGGAGTCTAAATTGGTTATACATTTCTTTTGAAATTCATACTCATCTTTTGGTATGAATTTGTGGGCACTGATTACCCATTTTTGCCTTAATAAGTACTTTTATTCCCACAGTCATTTATACTGTATCTACTTTTACTTCTTCACCTCTCATTTTAGTTGGTCTTTTCTCTATTATTCTTAATTTAGTTCATGGGTTGTCAATGATGTTGATCTTTTCTGACAAATGACTCTTCCTATGGTTGATATATTCCTATTTTTTTGGTACTCTGTTTGGTTCATTTGAGTTTTCTGTTTCAGTTTCCATCATTCTGCTAATTTTGCACTCATGCGACCCTTTTCCTGATGGTTAGAGATAAAGGAAATTGATTTTTGAGACAGCAAATATGTGTGACCATACCGCAGAATTATATATTAGGATATATGGTCAGTATGTTGTGTGCCATGTTATGTTTCCATGGAGAAATGAAGTCCTGATGAGTCCTTCTCAGCCATCTTTCTGACATTGTCTGATTGACTTGATGCTTCTATATTAGCATTCAAGGGTATATTCTTCTGAATGTAGTAAGTGCAATGATTTTATTTTATTTGAAATCTTTCAGCTATATCTTCATCTGACATGCAGAGTTTCCCCCAAAAGTGCAGCATAGAAGGTTCTTTCCAGAATGGGTCAATGCAGAGATACAAAGATAGTGCTGTTGAGATTTTACACTTATGCACAGACTGGGACAATGATGGGGAGAGTGAAGGGCCTCAAAGAAATCCTGGACGATACACCCAAACCAAGGCAATTGCCCTTAATGAGAATCTCACTGCCGCAAATGGTGAAGGTATAAACTGCTGTGGAAAACCTCACTTTTTAAGTCAACTGTTTCTGCAGAGCAGTGTGTTTCTGTCAGCACAAGCTCCAACCAGATATTCAAACATAGCTATTTGTGGACAGACCATTTGGAACATCTGAAAAGTAACCTAGTCCATGCTGAGAATAATGATTTGAGCCATTTGGAATATAGGATTGGCCTGACCTTTCAGCCAGATGTTTCTGATCATCAGAGATTTAGAAATAAAGAACAAAGTGCTCAGTGGGATCCATTCAAGAGGGGCTTCACTGAGGACTCGACCCTCCAGAATGACCAGAGGCTTTTCACTGGAGACAGACTTGCTCAGTGCACTGAATCTGAGAAAGCATTGAACCAGAGCTTCAGTGTTCAAAGATGTGTCAGGGCTAGGTTTGCAGAGAACCATTATGAATGTGATAAATGTGGAGAAGGCTTTCATCCAAGTTCTAAACTCAGTATACCTAATGGTCAGCATTTGGAAGACAGTCTTCATAAATATAATGAATGTGGGAAAGCTCATAACCAGTCCTCCAGTGTTGGTGATCATCAGAAAATTCACAAGGGGAAAAAACCCATTCAGATGTAATAAACCAGGGACCATGATTAGTCAGTCATCAATCCTAAATATCAATAATATAATCCCTATAGGAAATAACACTTATATTTTTAAGGAATGTGGTAAATCCTTTGACTGCCACTCAATACTATCTCAACATTAGCAAATGCATACTGGAGAAAAAATGAAATATGAAGAAGGTGGTTAAACTTTTAAGGACAGTTCATCAATAAATGGACATAAGCAAATCTGTACTGGAGGGAAATTTTACCAATGTCAAGAATTTGGAAAGTCAGTTAACCACAGCTCAAAGCTTATGCAACATTGTAGAATTCATACTGGAGAGAAACCTTACCAATGTGAAGAATGTGGGAAGGCCTTTAAACAGAGCTCAGGGCTGACCCAACATCAGATAATTCATACTGGAGAGAAACCTTACAAATGTCAAGAATGTGGCAAGGCCTTTCACATTAGCTTAAGGCCTACTTATCATCACAGAATTCATACTGGAGAGAAACCTTACAAATGTCAAGAATGTGGCAAGGCCTTTAGGTGGCCCTCAAACCTTACTCGACATCATATAATTCATCCTGGAGAGAAACCTTACAAATGTCCAGAATGTGGCAAGACCTTTAACTGGTCTTCAGACCTTACTCAACATCCCATAATTCATACAGCAGGGAACACTTTACAATGTCAAGTATGTGGTAAGACCTTTAACTGGTCTTCAGACCTTACTCAACACCACCAAACTCATAGTGGAGAGAAACCTTACCAATGTCAAGAATGTGGCAAGTCCTTTAAACAGAGCTCAGCGCTTACCCAAAATCACGTAATTCATACTGGAGAAGAACCTTACAAATGTCAAGAATGTGCGAAGGCCTTTACGTAGCCCTCAGAGCTTATTAAACATCAAATAATTCATACTGGAGAGAAACCTTACCAATGTAAAGACTGTGGGAAGGCCTTTACATGGCTCTCACCACTTACTAAACATCTCCGAATTCACACTGGAGAGAAACCTTACAAATGTCAAGAATGTGGCAAGGCCTTTGTCCAGCAAACATAGAATTCATACTGGAAAGAAACCTGACAAGTGAATTTAATGTGGCAAAGCTTTTTTTTTTTTTAAGATTTTATTCATTCATTTGACAGAAATCACAAGTAGGAAGAGAGGTAGGCAGAGAGAGGGGGAGAAGAAAGCTCTCTGCTAAGCAGAGAGCCAGATGCGGGGCTCAATCCCAGGACCCTGGGATCATGACCTTAGCCAAAGGCAGAGGCTTTAACCCACTGAGCCACCCAGGCGCCGCTGTGGCAAAGCTTTTAACACACAAACAACCCTCACTGGACATGAGAAAATTCGTACTGGAGAAAAACCTGCAAATGTAATGTATATGAGAAAACACCCAAGGACTGCTCCTCCCTTACTGCATATCCAATTTTATATAGGAGAGTAGCTGTACAGAGAGAGAGCATGTGTCTGACCTCTCAAAGGAACTCCCAACTTACTTAACATCCTAGTTACCATATAGGAGCAAAACTGTAAAATGTAAAGAAAATGGACAAGCCTTTTTTGGAATTCAATCCTTACTCAGTCTCACAAAATGCATATGAGTTTCAAACCCTTGTAACATAATGTGGGTAGACGTTCATTTTAATATACACTGGATATTATGTACCAGAGAGTGCATTCAGGAAAGTAACTCGAATGGCATAAATATTTAGAAGACTATTTAATTGCACATTAAATTCCAATAAATGTAACATAAATCAAGTAAAAGGAATACTTTATTCACTCTATTCAGACATTACTCTGTATGAAAATAGTGATTATAAGGAAAATTCAAACATTTAGAATGTGTATATGGTATTCCGCTTCAACAGATTTAGTGAATGGACTTTTACATATGTATAAGGGATCTCAATATTTTTATGTTTTACATTGACCCTATGTGACTTTTGTGACTAACAATATTCATGTATTTTACTCTGAAATCTCTCCTGAGAATCCCTTTACTCTTGCTGAATATGGAAGAGCACGTGGCTGATTGTTGCTCCATCAAAGATACCAGATGCCCTGCTACATTAGTTGGATGCATGCATGCTTTATTTTCTATGGAAGACGTAGGACCGTATAACATACAACATATGAGGAAAATCTCTGTGGAGATGCTTAAGGTCACAACATTGATATAAGTTACCATGAAGTAGGTGTTCAGGACACATACTACTCCATGTTTTAAACTAAAGAACTTCCTCAATATTAGAAATAGAAGGTTTTACTAATTGTTCTTTAAGAAAAAGGAGGTGGCAGGCAGTACACTACCGAGGCGTCTTTGTAAGCACCATCAATTCGTAGTATGACTTGATGTGGTTAAATGAGGAAATCCTGACAGATGAGAAGCAGGGTAGCTAACCCTTCCCTACAATGCCATACCATTGAACACGCACATTTCTTAGGAACGTACCTCAGTCCTGAAATTTTTGGAAATAGGGACTCCCACATCTTTCCGACAACACGCGAATGCTTCTGCACATGTGTATTCTGTATTTCGAATGGTGATGATAGACTGGATTTGAAATGCATAACTTAGTGTATGTGTGAACTTAATATATTTTCATTAATAAAACCTAGTGTGTTTTAACATATGGATATGGGTGTGTCATGAATGATGTGTTATCCTACCTCCAGTGTTAATCTCTCTCATTGAAGGTTGCAGGTTAATGATGGAATCAATCACCTGTTTGGCACTGGAGTAAAACAATATACCTAGTAATCCACTTTCCCAGTGGTCTGAAGTTTTGGGAGATATGTGACTGTTTAACCCCTAGTCTATACTATGATTTTCTCCTCTTTGTGAATAGGATGATATTACAGTGGGTGTATTACTGAGGTATGTAACATAGAGATATTGTTGGTGTTTTAGCTCTTATACTCCATGATGCTGTTATTTGGCATTGATTTTTTGTAGCGAGTAGTTTTGTCAGGGCCTTACACTGACAGGAGCCCTTCTCACTAGTGCATTCCCCAGTCAACACGCTGCAGGGTCACAAGTTAGTGGAAGATCTGATAGGATATTTGTACTCTGTCCTTATGACCCACCATCTCTCCTTCCTCTTAATGCTTTCCCTCCCATGTCCCTCAGAGAACACTCCCCCTCCCCCAGGACTTCCCTAATCTGTTTTAGTCAGAATGGCATATTCTGCACTTAGACGTGGGACTCTATAGCTCTGCACCATGGCCCCAAATGAAATCATGTGCCCCATATTCTACACTGAGTGTTGTTTTGATGTGTCTATGAAGTACACATGCACATATGACCATGCTATGTGTGTCATAGATACCCCTTAAGAAAGAGAAATCTATACTAATAGGAGTGGTGTTGTAGCCCAGGGAAGAGACAGAAAATATTTAAGATGAAGAATTAGCATGTAGAAGAGTTGCTGAGTTGCCCAAGTGACTCCTTAGATGTAGAAAAAGAATTTCTACTTGTTTTAGATCCTACTTATCTCTAGATCTCCAGTTGTATTCCCCCTCATTTTTCTTTCCATCTGCATAGGCACCACAGGCATTCTATTTTGCCTGTGCTACAGAGACAGTGTCCTCAGATAATGCTTCATTGAGATTACATAGATGGAAACCAATGGGTATTCAGACATTTAGCACGACGATGTGGGATGTGAATCTCAGTAAAATTTGAGAAAGTCACCACCCTTATAAAGAATGACAAGACCTATTAATAGGAAATGTGAGGAACTCTTTACAGTGTGGGGAGGGAATAGGAGGTGGCTCCCTTTAGTCACTATAAAGACCCAGGCAGCTCTTGCTGGTGTCATCTGATGAATACATGTAATGGGGAAACAAAAGCCATTTTTGCCAAAGGTGGGTTTCTCTGGCTAGGGAAGTCCTGTTTTATCTTGATGATTTGATTGACCTCCTGTGTCTTCCTGAGGACTAATGCTGTTGGATGTCAGTGATTACTGTACTTCCCTGGCTAGATCTGTGACAAGGGATGGAGGAGGTGTTGGATGATGCAATCACGGGGGCAGCTTTAAGATGTCATGTGGTTGAATAGATGTTTGAGATGAAGAAGCCTTCTGGGCAGTGGAATAGGCCAGATCAGCAAGGCATTTGCTATGGTTGCTCTAAGGCCTGTTTCCCAGGTACATAACCCCAGTGAAGGTAATAAGATCCTCCGTGGTTGGGTGATCCTTCAGGGAAGCTCCTTCCTACTGTGCGGGACCTTCCTCCCTTTCCTCAGCACCATAATGGGTGTCGTTCTAGGGGTACCTGGGTGGCTCAGTTATTAAGTATCTGCCTTAGGCTCAGGTCATGAGCTCTGCATCAGGCTTCATGTTCAGAGGGAAGCCTGCTTCTCCCTATCCTTCTGCTGCTGCTTGTGTTCCCTCTCTCATTGTGTCTGTCTCTGTCAAATAAATAAAATCTTAAAAGAATAATATTTTTGTTGGGGGGTAGGAAAAGAATAAATGAAACAAGATGGGATCAGGAGGGAGACAAACCATAAGAGACTCTTAATCTCACAAAACAAACTGAGGGTTGCTGGGGGAATGCTGGGAGAGGGTGGTGGGGTTATGGACATTGAGGAAGGTATGTGCTATGAAGTGTGTAAACCTGGTAATTCACAGACTTGTACCTCTGGGGCTAATAACACATTATCTGTTAATTAAAAAATTAAAAAATAGAAAAGGGAGAAAAATAATATTTTAAAAAATATAAGGAGACTGGTGGAATCATTTATAATCTACTTCTGTCTGCAAGAGCCCACCCCCTTAAGCCCTAAGCATGGAACCACCTCCTTCAGACATTAAAAGTATAGCTCTTAGGGGCTCTGGGGGTGACTCAGTTAAGGGTCTCACTTTGGCTCAGGTTATGATGTGAGGTTCCCAGCACATAGCCCTGCAGTGGGCTCTCTGCCCAGTGGTAAGTTGGCTCCTCTCTCTTTCTCTGCCCATCACCACCCACCACCAGGAGGGCATCTCTCTCAAAGAAAAAAAAAAGTGTAGCTCTTTCTGAGCACAAGTCCCACCCACATGCTACTTCAATAAACTTATTAAGTTGCACCATAAAACATCATGGAAGTTCTTCCTGACTACTGTGCTGAAGGATGCAACAATTTTGTTATCCAGAAACCCAAGCTGGCTGCCATTCCATTGAAAAGCCAATGCATAGGGCATGAGTTTTGATTGGAATGGAATATCAGCATTATTCAGGAGGTGAGCCAATTGGAAAGAAGAAAGACTTTTTCTGATCAAAAATCAACTCCAAGGAATTTACCAGGCCTTCAGAGTTTTGAAGGAGCTTGAGGACAGTGAATCAGGAAGAGGGAATAGGACAGTCTGACATAGTTCTTGATGGCCTGTGCGCTCACTCTGCCTCCTATGGACATTACAGAGGTGCTTACAGGATGTGTATTTGTCCCCATGCGTGGTTGTGTCAGAGGGTGGGATTACCAGTCCTTCTTGGAGATAATGTGTGATATATAGATGTACAGAGAAGGGTTTACTCCATTCATGGAAAGGTGCACACAGAAATTTAAAGGTTTTTAAGTTGGCCCAAGAGGCCAAGGGAGGGTTTCAATTTAAGTTAGAAACCTGTCTTGGGGCTCCTGGGTGGCTCAGTGGGTTAAAGCCACTGCCTTTGGCTCAGGTCATGATCCCAGGGTCCTGGGATTGAGCTCCACATCAGGCTCTCTGCCCAGCGGGGAGCCTACTTCCCTTTCTCTCTCTGCCTGCCTCTCTGCCTACTTGTGATCTCTGTCTGTCAAATAAATACATAAAATCTTAAAAAAAAAAAAGTTAGAAACCTGTCTACAAGGTTTGTCCTGTGATACAAATGGCATTATTGCCTTCTGCTATGATGCCGAGTTATGTGTGTGTGTGTGTGTGTGTGTGTGTGTATTCAAGAATCAATCAGATGGAGGACCTTTATTAGGAAGAGAACTGATCATGATGTGGGAAACAAAGGCAGAAGAAAACATACTAATATCCTTATACCTACAGGTCATTGACATATCCTTGAAACAGGCAGAGTGACATTCCTCCAAGGACTCAACTGCCATGATGTTAATATGTTGCTAATGAGAAAAGACAATCCTGACCTGAATTCTGCAACCCTCACCAGGATCCTGTAAGTCTACTTTAACATAAAACATTTCCTTTGGAAACTTCCCTTTTCTCTCAAACCCCCTACCTACCTCTTGGTAAAACTCCTCCAAGCAGATAGTGATGGATAAACATCAGAAAGGTCCCATGACTAAGGATTTTTGGTTGGTAATAAATGACCTTTTCCCAAGAACTGATATTCCCCTCAGGGTTCTGGATACCTTGCTTCCAAAATTCCTTAGATACTTGTGCTATCCCAAACCCCCTCCAACTTGATAGTATATAATGGGCCATGCCTCATGACAGAGTGTGGTCTTTCTTCCCCTGGGTCCTGTCCCTATGCTTTCACAAAATCACCTTTTGCACCATAGACATCTCGAGAATTCTTTCCTTGCCATGGGGATCAAACCATAACATTCTTTCCTACATGGATACCAGAGTTTAACAGTTTATATCACAAACAGTTGCCTACCTATAACAGACACATGAAAAAATGTTCAACATCATTAGCCACCAGGGACATTCAAATCAAAACCACATTGAGATACCACCTTACACCAGTTAGAATGGCCAAAATTACAAGACAGGAAAAAAGTTTTGGAGAGGATGTGGAGAAAGGGGGACCCTCTTACACTGTTGGTGGGAATGCAAGTTGGTGCAGTCACATTGGAAAACAGTGTGGAGATTCCTGAGAAATTAAAAATAGAGCTACCCTATGACCCTGCAATTGAATTCCTGGGTATTTACCCCAAAGATACAGATGTAGTGAAAAGAAGGGCCATTGGTACCCCAATGTCCATAGCAGTAATGGCGACAGTCACCAAAGTGTGCAAAGAGCCAAGATGACCTTCAACACCCAAATGGATAAAGAAGCTCTGGTCCATATATACAATGGCGTATTATTCCTTCATCAGAAAGGATGAATACCCAACTTTTGTATCAACCTGGATGGGGACTAGAAGAGATTATGCTGAGTGAAATAAGTCAAGCAGAGAGAGTCAATTATCATGTGGTTTCACTTACTTGTGGAGCATAAGGAATAACACGGAGGACATTAGGAGAAGAAGAGGAGAAGTGAGTTGGGGGAAATCAGAGGGGGAGATGAAGCATGAGAGACTGTTGACTTTGAGAAAGAAACTGAGGATTATGGAGGGGAAGGGTGGGGGGGTTGGGTGAGCTTGGTAGTGGGTATTAAGGAGGGCATGTATTGCATGGAGCACTGGGTGTGGTGCATAAACAATGTTGGAACATTGGGAAAAAACAAAATTGAAAAAAAAAAAAAAGAAGAAGAAGAAGAAGAAGAGTTGCCTACCTGGAGGACAAACCATTGTTTGATAAATATTTCATCTTTCCTTTCTCCTCTGAATATAATCCCCTCTTTGGAAATTTGAAATCCTACCTCCTCCTTCTTAAGTCACCATGACACAGAATCTTCAATCACCTTGTTAGGACCTATTTAGCAAGAGGCTTTCATTAAAATTAACCTGTCCCTGCTCCCCTTCCCCCAGGGGATTTACTTAAAAACAAGTCCAGAAACCAGCTCCAGGTGACAAAGCCCAGATACAAGGGTGGGTCAGGCCAGGTGGAGACATCCGATCAGAGGGGGGTTGCATACTGTTTCCCTAGCTACCAAGGAGTCTGGACCTGCCCTTTGGGCACATTTCCGGAGCAAATTCTGACCAAGGTGATAGGCTGGTTCAAATGTCTACTAGGGTAAATTGTAATTCAATAGGTCCTAGCATCACTGTGGGGTTTCCTGTGTGTGTGACAATCTCATTGGTCACCTGTGCATGGCCAGGCCTGACTGCATGGCCTTTGCCCTTAAAAGCTAGTCTGTGAAAGGAGAAGGGTCGCCCTCTCTTGTAAAAGGTGCATCCCTGAAGGTTCGGTTAGATTCTTGATGCTTGGCATGAAATAAATCTTTGCTTGACCCTTGCTTTATATCAGTCTCACTCCTTTAATCTCGGACCCATTATTGGGGCATAACACTCCTCTCTTTGAGCCTCATGTCTTTCTTGTTCCCATAATTAAGAACTTCATTGTTTTCTCTACTGAAAATGTCTTACATCATTTTAAGTCTTAGACCAGCAGAAGAATTGAGAACAGCGCAGAAAAAACAAACTTTCCTCTCCTCACATTCATTCTGTTGTGTGAACTGACCTCCACACTTCAGACCCGGAACAGAACGTGCAGACAGAGTTGGGGATCAAGGGCACCCGGATCTTCACTGCTTGCCAGCCAAGGAAGCCTCAGCAGGTCGGGCCTTCAAACCTGCAGCCCACCTGGGGAAAGAGGCCAAGGGTTTGTTGGGAGATGCTGGGTAATGGCCAATTTCCAGAGGAATTTTGTCTGTGCCGCCAGCCCTGTTTATCATGCTGTCAGGGTGGAACTAGGTTCCTGAAACAAAGGGCTGAGAAGTGAAAAGAGGTCTGTGGGGAAGAGAAAGGTTACGTATTTGGAAATGGAGTCCCACTGAAGCATTAATTGCTTTTTTCTTTGTTCAACTTGATGCCTTTCAAGTGGTTTTCATTTCACTCACCAAGACAGCTGTTGTAAGAAGACTTCATACTTTACACTGAGAAACCACTCAGTGTTTTCTGGAATGGCTAAAATAAAGAAAAAGGATAACATTCAATTTTCCTGAGAATGCTGAGAATTAGAATTCTCGTACATCGCTGATGGGAGGGTAAAAAGAACATGCAGTGTGGAAAACTGTGTGGCAGGTCCTTATGAACAGAAACACTGAAGGGGAATATTTTGTCACCCTAAAATATGTATCTTTGGCCTGAGCATTATTTTCAACTGGTTATTTTGAATCAAAGGCAGATAAAGGAAGAGCTCTGAGATCCTGTGTTTATTTTGAAAGAGACATTTGCATTTATACAGGAAAGTTCAGTCTGTCAGGGGTCTCCCTCTGTGTATCAGAAAGAGGGAAAAGGTGTCAGTCTCCCAAAAATGATGGTGGAGAAGGCAGGGCTCGAACTCTGCACCCAGCCCCAGCCTTGGTTCCCCTGCTTGGTCTGGTCACCTCCCCAGTTCCTTCCCTGCAGGGTCACCTGTGGAGTTTCAGGGAGGATCTTCTCTGCAGGCCTCCCCCTCAGATTCTGTCAGGTGGTTTGGGCGAAAACAACACTGTTGTGTTAATTAAGGGCTCCAGGAGATTCTCAGCGAGACCTGGGGGGAGCCCGAGTGCTTTCAGTGGTTTTCTGAGAGGATTTGTGGCTTTGGTCCTGGAGAGGTGACAGGGCCTTTGCTCTGTGAGTCTGGGAGGGTTGGGTCCCTGCAGCCCACGGTTCTGATGCTGACACTGCAGTTGTGAGTGGCGGTGGCAGGGGACCCCTCCCTCCCCACAAAGCAGGTAAGGAACACAGGGATTGGTGTCCTCATGGGAGCTCACAGTTTCTGAGCTTCTCCAGACACAAAGGACTGGGAAGTTGGGCCTTTTCTGCATCTCTGAGTCCTGCCCATGGGCGAGCGGTGTGAGGAGAAGGAGCTCTGTTGCTGGATTTCAGGGCATTTTCTCCTGATGCAGCTGTGATTTCCCCCCAGATCCTTCGTGAGGACAAAATCTAGAGGTGGAGTTGAAGGCAGAAATGGCCGGTTCTCAGGTAAGCCTGGTGTCCCAGCGGAGCCCTGTCCTCTGTTTCTCCACAGACCCTCGAGTTTAGAAGCTGCAGAGGTGGACGCCTAGAGTGTGTGCTTCTTGCTTCTGTGTTCACCTGTTTTTAAGATCTGGTCAGAAGTGATACTCATGGTTAGGTCTTTAGAATCCTTCTCTATGTCCCAGAGCCTTCTGTACTGTCCCCAACCTGGCTTTGATAGGGCATCAGCTGTTGTCACTTTGAATTAAAGTTCCTCGAGGAGTGACAATATTCTGATGGTGGCAGATCTGGAGGGGAAGGTGTCGAGTCTGAAATTCCTGTGGCTGATGAGGTCTGGTCCTGGGATATCAGGGAGGGAAATCATTTCTCCTTCAGGCTTGTCTGGATTCTTTTTTTTTTTTTTTTAAAGATTTTAGTTATTTATTTGACAGAGATCACAAGTAGGCAGAGAGACAGGAAGAGAGAGAGAGAGAGAGAGGGAAGCAGGCTCCCTGCTGAGAAGAGAGCCCGATGTGGGACTCGATCCCAGGACCCTGAGATCATGACCTGAGCCGAAGGCAGTGGCTTAACCCACTGAGCCACCCAGGCGCCCCCCTCGTCTGGATTCTTGGTCAGCTGTGTGCAGCCAGGGAGGAAGGAAATTATGACAGAAGCTAGGTGGGTATTGAGTCCAGAAAAACTTGGAAAGTTCCCATTCTAAGAAAGGGTATGTGTGTGTCTCCATCTTTAGCACGTGAAAGAGATATTCTGCTTAAAATCCACTAGAAGAGGGTGCCTGGGGGCTCAGTCAACTAAGTTTGGACTCTTCGTTGCAGCTCAGGTTGGGATCTCAGGGTCCTGAACTGGTATCCCCACTTCTGGCTCTGTGCCCAGAGGGGAGACTGCTTGACATTCTCTTTCTCCCTCACCGGCCCTTCCCCATCTCCTCTAAAATATAAATCAATCTTGGGGACCAAGGGTGGTTCCATTGGCTAAGAGTCTGATTTCTGCCTTCAGCTCAGGTCATGATCCCGGGGACCTAAAATCCAGCCCCACATCGGGCTCCCAGGTTCCCAGGTGATGAGGTTCTAGAACATAGGTGAGGTTTGGTGGGGTGAGGTCTGGAGCCGATGACCAAGAAAGAATTCTTGAGACATCTTTGGTGCAAAATGGTGGTTTATTAAAGCATGGGGACAGGACCCATGGGCAGGAAGAGCTGCTGCCCCACTATCCGGAGGAGTGGCTGATTATATACACAGGAGTTGGGTAAGTGAGGACAAAGAGGGTGTTCAGAAGGGCTATCAGGGTAAGGAAGACTATCAGGATATTGAAGGCCTGATTATTGTCAAGCCAAGGCCGTTTTTCCCTCTAATGAGGCACTAACATGAAGACAATTGGGAGTTTCCTGGGGTATGTCACATTCCTCCTATCAAACATCCTTGTTAGTGAGATTTAGGTTTAGAAGAAATTTAACTTTATTTACATTTCCTTCTACCTCAGCCTCCTTCAGTTTTTATGGAGGGGAGGGCGACATTAGGGCTTGAGGAACTGAATTATTTGTCTCTGGAAATTGGGCTATTGGTAAGATAGCTTCTTTGTTATAAATCACTAGGAAATTTGTAGACCGAGGGAGACTCCTATCTTGCAGGATTGTGATCTCTGCAAGTTAACTCTTTGTTTTCCTTTTAGGGCAGCCAGGGGTGCCTGAGGAATGTTACACATACTAGGGAGGGGAGCGGGTGGAGAGGGGGTGCAAGGTGCCAGCTTTTGCTTTGTCTTCAGCCAGCCTCCTGCTCCCTCATCATTCCCCCCTGGACAATTTTGACCCTTAAATATTTAAGGTAGTTGAAGGTGGAAGGTCTCATCTTCTGTAACTTCTTCCTGCTGAATAGGGGCATAGAACTGTCCTACCTACTTGGGTCAACATTGATCAGTTGAGGAATGTGTAGGGGAGTTACGGAAGATGGAGGCAGCTGAGTGCAGCGCTGACAGTGAAGAAGAGTCTCTGTGCGTGGTAAGGATCATCGTGAAGTCATTGCAGCAATGGAGTCTTGGCACCAAGTAGAGAAACATTGAACAAGGCAACACATTAAGATTAATAAGGCTATAAGAATGAAAAGCCCGAAAAGGAGATTTTTTAATTGTAGGCCATAGTCCTCCTTTAAACCAGGAACTTAACCAATCACTGAGAGGGAGAGAAGGATCTTGTAGAGTCTTAATCTGGGTATTCATATCTTTTATTAGTACTGTGACATTTTTGTGATAGTCTGGGATGTACACGCAACATTCTGCTTTGATAATTGCGCATATGCCACCCTGTGCTGCTGTCAGGACATCTAAGGCCATTGTATTCTGTAGGACTGCCTTGCATATCTGTGAGACTTCGATATTAAGTAAAGAGATGCTATTTAGTGAATCATTGAGTGCCTTTGTAGTATATTTATTAAGGGCTTCTACATGCCACATGACACCCTCTAGTCCCACAGATGGAGCAAAAGAGGATGTTAAGTGATCTTACCATTTAAAAACAGATCGCGTCCATCTTTGCTTTAAATTGGGGAGATTAGGTGGAATGGTGATGGTTTTAGTAATGTGCCCATGAATCCAGGCAAATCCTAAGGTACAGCGACCTATCCACCCTGGAAGAATGCAGGGCCACAGGTTAGTTCCACAGATCCACTGGGTTCCGTTTGGAGCTGGCCATCTAATGCCAGGTCGCCTTACCCAATCAGTAGCAAACCAATCAGTAGCTTGGAGTACTATTATTTGGGAACACATTTCTTTTTTTAAAGATTTTATTTATTTATTTATTTGTCAGAGATCGAGAGGGAGAGAGCAAGCACAGGCAGACAGAGTGGTAGGCAGAGGCAGAGGGAGAAGCAGGCTCCCTGCCCAGCAAGGAACCCAATGTGGGACTCAATTCCAGGACGCTGGGATCATGATCTGAGCCGAAGGCAGCCGCTTAACCAACTGAGCCACCCAGGCGTCCCATTGGGAACACATTTCTAATGATAGCCATCCCAGATGTTGCGTGTCATTTGCCCAAGTATCATATGTATGATTTCTTTGTTCCTGGCATTAAACTGCCTTTTGCATGAGCTGTCCAATAGTGGGTTTGAGCCACAAATATGTATCCCAGATTTGATATATGCCATCCTCAGTATAGCGATATGGAGGGTTTTGTAACTTAGGCCCATATTTGATTGGGGAGTTATGGCTTGACAGCAATCCCCTTTGCTTCCAAATAGCTCCATGGGTATGTAGTACCAGGAAGGCATATTTGGAGTCAGTATTAATGTTTTCTTGTAAATCTTTGGCAATTGCAAAGTGCTGGTGAGCACTACGGCATACTTAGCTTTTCTTATTCTTTTTATGAAAAGTATTGTCATCAGTGAACCAACGTCATTTGTACTTTTAACAGGGACATCTTAAATCTGGCCAAACAGAGTAAGCAAGATCAATAACCTCTGAACAGTTTTTGCTCCATAGAGAAAGAAGCACAATGGTCAGGTTCAGGCATACGGGTAACTAGGTTTAAAGTTTGACAAGTTTTAAGTATTATTTCTGGCATATCTGTAAGTGTAGCCCAGTATTTAATAAGTTGGCCCCCATCATCCATTGGTGGCCTTTGGATTCTAAGACAAATCTGGACCTGATGTGAAGTCATTACAGTCAGGGACTGTCCCATAGTGAGCTTTGATGCTCTTTTTTTATGAGGAGGGCTGTTCTATGCTTAGCTAAAACATCTGTTTGCAGTTGCACCTCAGAGGTGGCTTCTAGGATAAATATGACTAAGGGATGAAACCATTAAGAAGCCCTTTGAGTGGTCCAGCCTTGACGATATCCTGATTACAGAGAATCATTGGCAAGTGGGAGAAAACTTGTCAAGAGATAAGGGGAGTCCGCCATGCATCATCCAATCCAGTCATAAAGTGGGGTCATCCAGTATCTCCACAAGTCCATAGTTAATGCTGTTGAGTGCGGTATGCTGGCTTTCAGGCAATTTCATTATTCCAGCCACACACAAGGTGAAAGTTAAGTTATACAATTGTTGGGGAATCAATTTCATTTTCCATTTGTTTAAATATTTTAGCTATGTGCCCAGTGGGTTCTGTTATTATCCCTACAGAATATTAGGCAAGATCATCTAAACGATCTATTGTGCAACTTCTCTGAAGTTTACCTCAAGTTGTCTAGCTTAGGTAAACAAAGATTTAAAGACAATCAAATCTAGAATTTAACATCCATAAAGGTGTGTTAATAAAAAATAATTTTTCTCTCTAAAATAACCCTCATTTCCAGAGATAGCCAAATCAGGACTAATTTATTTGAAAAACAAGTCCACTTTTAACAAACTTGGCCTAATTATTTACATAAGCTCAGCAAGAACAGTGAGTGATCATATAGATCTTTTAGAATCGCTTCGCTGAAACTTCTTATAAGGAATCTCTAGGTTGAACTTTTAATGGCCTCTCTGGGACAGAAGCCAAACCACGTAGTTGCCATCAGACATGCCTGCAATACCTGTCAATTTGGACGAACTCACTGCTCACATTCTTCTCTCCTTGCGTTAGGACCACAGTTGTTATACCATGGGTATCTCCACAATCCTTTCTTCATCATTCACTCCAGAACCCCAATATTTCACATGTCTAGAATATCTTGTCCATTGGTTCCTCTCCCACATCCCAACACTTTGTGCTGGCTAAGGAGGGCTGTCACCTCTTTGTCATGGATAGAGTTGACTTCTGGGAGTGAAAGGAGTGAAAGTTCTCAACCAGGCAGCCCCCTGTCCATAGGTGCTTCTTTTTTTTTTTTTAAGTTTTTTTTTTTTATTATTATTTATTTGACAACAGTGATCACAAGTAGGCAGAGAGAGAGGAGAAGCAGGCTCCCAGCTGAGCAGAAAGCCCTATGTGAGACTCAATCCCGGGACCCTGGGATCATGACCTGAGGTGAAGGCAGAGGCTTTAACCCACTGAGCCACCCAGGCGCCCCCATAGGTTCTTCTTTAACTCCACACCCATGTCAGGGAGAAGGAAAGGTCGGATCTGGTTCTAGCTGGTGACATTAACACCAAGTTTTATCTTAGGAAACATCATGAACTGTGTCAGTGGCCACGTGGTGACTGTGGTATTTATTGCAGGGACAGCTGACCTTCAGGGATGTGGCCATAGAATTCTCTGAGGAGGAATGGGGACGCCTGACCCACACTCAGCGGCAACTGTACAGGGATGTGATGTTGGAGAACTACGGACACCTCCTCTTCTTGGGTGAGGAAGACTCCTTCCAGATTTCCCAAAGCCCACTCAGGGTTTTATTCCTTCCTGTGAAGACTGTAGTTTTGGAGATTTCTCTTGTAATGATTAGAATTCAGATCCAGGCAGAAAGGGAAATAAGTAGATGGAGAGAAAAATCTTCATGATGTTTTTTCTCAGCCTTAGCTTCTCCTTCCTCAAGCAAACATCATTGCTTGTGTAGATGAGTGGCAGTTCTCAACCTTTAGTGACATAAATGATGCTGCTCACATCTTAAACTGAAATTTCCCCTTCTCATTATCATGTCTACTACTTGGAAGTGTAGGTCAGGATGTGAACATTGGAAATTCTTCCTGTGAGTTCTTTTTTTTTTTTAAGACTTTATGTATTTGACAGAGTAAGATGACAAGTAGGCAGAGAGACAGGCAGAGAGAGGGGGAAGCAGGCTCCCCGCTGAGCAGAGAGCCCAGGGTGGGTCTCCATCCCAGGACCCTGAGATCCTAAACTGAACCGAGGCAGAGTCTCAACTGACTGAGCCACCCAGGTGCCCCTAAAACAAACCTTTTAAACCTCAGTGTCAATTATATAGAAAACTCTTCTTCCTCTCTCCTCCCCTGCACACCCTCCCGATTTTGTTAACGACATCACAAATTCTTTTATGTTGGATCCTTTATTACCCACATTTGTGATTTTTTTTCCCCCAAAACAAAACTCTGTAGCAGAAAGAAAAGTGTCTGGTATCTCATTGCAACACAGCACGTTTGTGTAATTGTCTACATATTTATGTTCAGCTGAGAGCTCTGTGTTCTCATGTGGTTGCAGTTTCTGGGTAGAATCCTTTTATGTCATCTAGAAAGACTTCCTTTAATGGTTCCTTTTTTTTTTTTTAAAGATTTTATTTATTTATTTGACAGAGAGAGATCACAAGTAGACAGAGAGGCAGGCGGGGGGGGGGGGGGGGGGGCGCGGGGAAGCAGGCTCCCTGCTGAGCAGAGAGCCCGACGTGGGACTCAATCCCAGGACCCTGAGATCATGACCTGAGCTGAAGGCAGAGGCTTAACCCACTGAGCCACCCAGGTGCCCCCTTTAATGGTTCTTGTGGGACAGATCTACTGGTAAGCTTAGAGGGGTTTTTACTTGGGAATGTCTTCGTTTCTGCTCTGTGGAAAAGAATTTTACTAGGTAAAGTATTGTTGGTGGCTATTTTTCAATCTTTGAGTACCTGAGTACTTTATGCTGGGCCCCATTGCTGTTTGGACTGCTGAGAATCCTCCTAGTGATTTTCTAGGAGCTCTTGTGCAAGATGAAGTGGATTTGCCATTGTGTCTCTTTTTAGATTTATTTGTTTATTCATTTATTTATTTATTTGACATAGAGAGGTCACAAGTAGGTGAAGAGGCAGGTAGAGAGGGAGAAGCAGGCTCCCTGCTGAGCAGAGAGCTGGATGGGGGTGCTCAATACCAGGACCCTGAGATCATGACCTGAGCCAAAGGCAGGGGCTTAATACACTGAGCCACCCAGGTGCCCCTGTCATTGTGTTTCAAAAGTCTCTCTTCATCTGTGGTGTTTGATGGCTTAATTACAACATGTGGTGAGTTGTCCCATTCTTTGTATGTGGTCTGCTGTATATACCATAGTTTTATAAGTAATTTGAAGAAATAAAATATGAAGGCAATCATAATGAAAAGACATTTACTGTAGTGCACTGGATTTATCAAGCAAACTTCTCTGTGTCTGAGTGCACCGTTATTGGTGAAAAGCACATTATGCAATGGTTAACTGTATTTGTTAGGAGACCTGAAAGGATTCAGGGGCAGATGGATCTCTAGAGAGGGACAATTATTTTCAGTGTGATTCATTATTCCTTTTGACTATATTTTGTACATGTAGAGGGGTGTCCAAAGAAAGCCAGAGTAGCAGAAGTTTAATCAGATAAACTAGCCTTTTATCTTTTGTTTATACTGCTTTGATATTAGGGTACTGCTGATCTCACAGACTGGTTTTGAGTGTATTTCTCTATTTCAAAATTATAAGATTTTTTTATTGCTAAGATTTTGATAAGGATTGTCAGGAATGATTTTGTAAATGTTAGATTCTTTCTCTTGTCCTGAACCATGGCTCACCATCTAACGCCCAGGGGTTCTCCCCAGTGATTGCTAATTGAAGAAAGTCACTACAAATATAATGATAAGCCATAGCTACACAATTCTCAAGGGCTATCGATCAAATTTTACCCTGTATATTTTTCCTGTTGTTTTGTGAGGATAGAGAACACAAGCAGAGTTTTAGGGTATTGATCTGCACAGAATGCAATGTCTCATATTAAGCTAAAGACAGATTTTGAAGTCCCAGAACTAAGTAGGAGGAAGCACGTGTACATACATATGTGTGTGTACCTATATCTTCAGAAGGAAAAGTAATCTTGGCTCAAACCAGGTCACTTCCAAGTTTGAAAAGTGATGATTTCCTAGCAAGCAAAGAGATTCTAGATTCATAATAGAAAGAGTTTTCTTCTCTGTATTGTATTGAATTTATGCTTCCTACATCTCGTGTATCTTAGTTCGGGAATTTTCCCATGCGAATCTTCTCTTACATAACTGGGTTTTAGTCCTGTAGGATCTACTCTGTTTTCCTTATTCCTCTGTCGACCTGTTGCTTAGCTACCTCGATAGAGATTTTAACAAGAGTTTCCATGGAATGACATGGTATTCTAAATTTAATTTAAATGTGAGATTAATTCTCCAGGAAGCATTATAAATTCCATGTAGTTAAATTGATAGACTTCACTCCTGCCTTTGCGATTGGAGAAGTAAGAGTTCCTTAGTTACTCTTCTTTTCCCTTCCAGGAAGTGATGCCATCCATGTTGGTCACTTCAGTGTCAGCATTTGATTAGTTAAAAACGTGGAGATTTCACGAATCCTGTTTTGTTTTGTTTTGTTTTGTTTTTCTTTTCTTTTTTAACACTTACTTGAAGGAAACAAAGATGGGACAGGGCTGGGTGCTGAGTAGATGTTCTAACTTAAACAGAACACAGTGTTCTGTTAGGAGTGATGGAGCAGCCTAATGGAAGAGATGAAACAGATCTAGGCAGAAACATTGGCCTGAATTCTTCATCTGGGGAGAGGACCCCTGTCCAAGATTATACTACTGACTCTGACTCTAGAAAGAAAAATTGTACTTCCCTTCTTCCCAAATCCTGTCCACTTCTTCTGTCCCATCTCTGTTTCGGTGATGGAGGCATCACAGCTGACTTTCCCTCTTGTGTTCTGGAAACCTTTTGTCCCTGCACTCCCCCTTCCCACCTAAGCCAGGCAGGCCTTTGCTTAGCCTTAGGGGTAGCTTGGAGTTTTCTAATGCCATTGTAAATGGTTGATAACAGGACCACGTGAGGCCTATGTATGTTTTAAATACAATGTTGTCACCACTGCACTGGAGGAGAAGCAAAAATCCATCACTGGGCGACAGGATTAGTTCAGGCATTTGGCACTGGAAGTTGTTGAGGACAGATAAAACACGATGTTGTGACAGTTTGAGAGGAAGGTAAGTGCTATGGAAATGAAATATGGTGAACTCTTGAATTGTGAACAAAGATCTGGTAGAGAGGTCCCTTTGGTCACTGCAATGACTAAGGAAGCTGCTCATAATGAGCGAATGGACAGAGATGCATTTCTGGGAAATGTGGCTGTCTGGGACATCCGATGCTTTTCTCATGATTTGTAATATATTCCCTGCTGTCCTGAGGACCAGTTGCTATTGGATGACAGAGATTATTGTACTCTCTGAGGCCCAGATGCATGGAGTGTATGGAGAGGGGGTATTAGTTGATTTAAAAATGGTGGGCATAGTTTAAAGATGTCACATGATAGAGTAGATGTTGAAGACAAAGAAGGCTGCCGGACACTACCAGTGAGAACCAGCCAGTTGTGTGTTGTGACTTAGTTCCTGAAGAGGTTGTCAAATTTTGTCTGGTCAGAATCACTGGGAACACTTTAAATGTGGAGCCCTGTGCCCAGCCTTACATTGCCATGTCAGTAGCTCTGGGCTGCAGCCCCCCACCTTTCCTTTACCCAGTCTCAGGTGACTGTCTAGGGACTAGACCTTGTGACCCTATATCTGGGGACACATTCATAGTTGGTTTCTTCAAGAAAGGTAGTAGCCCATGGGTAATGTAGTGAGATACACAGATGATGCTGAACATGTGGCCAGACCAAAGGCCATTCTCTGTTGCAGGGCAGGACCGTAGACTGGGCTCTGAGGCTGACCAGATTCACTGATGAGGCTTCCTGCTCATGCAAGCAAGAGGTTATGCTAAATGATTGGTCAGTGCTGCTGGCTTGCTTTTCTCCCCAGAAGCCTCTGGGGTTGTCTAGGGTCTCTGTTCAGGCTTCCAGTGGGGCAGGATTGGAGGCTAGCATCAGCCATGGGAAGTGACTTAGAACGTGCATAGCTACCCAGACAGAGAGCAGAGAATGCCCTAGTTCAGAGCATTGGCTGGACACCCAAGTCAGTCACAGATGCTGACAATTCCCCTTAGCCAGGTAGGTTCATCTAAACAGGGGAATAGGCAATCAGTGGACATTGTCTGTAATGGACTCCCACCCACACTGACAGCTTTTGGTTAAAGATTTCTACCATGACGTTGAATGAATGCTACTTTGTTAGGTTCACAGAGTTGCAGGGATGTGTCTTTGGTGCTGCAGTGTGCATCTTGGGTATCTTCCAGACCTTTGCAGTTGGCCCTATGGCCAATGGCAGGAAAATCTTAAAGTCAAACCTTCCAGGTACATTGATTTTCAGATCTACCCTGCATGTGACTGTACAGCAGTGCCAGGTGAGCTGCAAAAGATCATGAAGGAAAATGTATCTGTACTGTGGTGGATATCTGAGCCAAATCATACATGTGTCTTATACAGTATTGTCACTCTTCCTTGAAGTCGTGTGGTGACCTTATGATCTGTGTGAGCATTTCCTTGATTGACGTTTTAGTTACAATGATCATTCCACTCATATTTGTGTATAAGAAAGCTTGGTAGTATAGTGATAGCATCATGATCCTGGGTTGAGGAACAGGTGAGTTTATTGTACAGGAAAACAGATGGTCTAATTTCATGGCCAAGGATCGGGCATATACGCTAGATGTTCCTTGAAGATACTGGGGTTTCCTGTGCTCAGAGTGTACAACATAAACCCACCGCATGTGCAGTGTGTCCCTGTATGAGTTGGGGGTGGGCGGCTGGCCAGTGGAATTAGTGTGATGAAGATGTTTATGATGTTTGCTGTGTCCTGAGCCATAAGGCACTTGAACTTTGACCTGGGAACCTCTTGTCTTCTGCCAGTATTGGAACAGTTACAGACCAACGGGTTACAGTATAGAATGTGTGTCATCTTCGAATTTTTATATTTATTAAGGTTATCCAGGGACTTTATTCAAAACAAAATAGACATCCATAGGTCTGTTTCTTGTTTGTTCATTTAAGTTGTTGTTTTGGTTGTACACATAAGTGAATATGTATAGTATTTGTATGTCACTTAGTTCACATCACATAACATCTTCTGGGTCAAACCACTTATCACAAATGACAAGATACAAAGAAAAAAGCTGAAAGAGACACAAATAAAATGTATAGCCTGAATGTTGCCAGTGTGGAATGGAGAAGGATGATGGGCAACATGAGGAAGTGGGAATGGGAAGCACAGGCTTCCGTGGGGTGAAAAGAATACAGGGAACTCCTCCAATGGTTTTCCCGTAGAATTTTATGGTGCCAGATATTAGCGACTATTGGTGAGTATAGCAGTACCTATAGAGTTGTTGAGTCTGCATGTTGTACACCTAATATAATGGGACATTGTAGAGTATATATTAATAGAAAGGAAATCAAGATGGATATCAAGAAGCATATACATGTGTAGATTAAAGTAGTGTCCTAGGAAGTTGCAGGTAAAGAAATCTAAACCTGCTCTTCCAAAGAAGCTAATCCTAAGTACTCACAGTAGGATAAAGTCCTAGGAAAGCGACCTGATCGGTATCACAGTGGAGATAAACATTCCTCAGTGTAGAAGGGAAGGGACAGAGAAAGAGAAGCATGTGCCCAGCAGAGCAAAGAAGGGAACTGGAAGACCAAGAAGATCCTGTGGTCCTCACAGGCAGCCCAGGAAGAGCAGCCCAGGCCGTCCATGGAAGAATAGTCATTTCTGTGAGAGCTTCTTAACTCCATTTCCCTGAATTTGGTCTCTCTCCTCTCACCACTGAGGAGCATCAGGAAGGCTTTTCTTTGGAAGTGGATTCTTTGGGGGAAAACCAGAAAATGCAACCAGGTTGTAAAGCTGCTCATTTTAGGTAAAGTCAGTTTTTAGAGGGAACTCTAGGTTCCAAGAAGTGATCCTGTACCCTGACCATGGGTATTAGTAAAAATGCAGGGGAAACTTGAATTTGATAAAGGCCATGGATGCAGTGGGGTCCAAGGTACAAAACCCAGCATTGCAACCAGAAGCAATTTGCACCTGCATTTCTTATGAAGGAGGGAGCTGTTTCCATGAGTATGATGGTATGGGAAATTGAAGAAAGAAAAATAGGAGGTCCAGAGAAGAGTGATTGGGTTAAGTTTGTTATGCAGGAGTAGGGTTGGCTTGAATGAACAGTGAAGGGAAGCAAAGGACTCCATACTCACCTGTATGCTCTGCCCCCTTTTTAAGTACCTTTGAAACTATCGTGATTCAGTCCTGGAATTTTGAGCGGAGCATGCATTGTTGATCAGTGGCAAATGTGTGAAAAGTAGAAACTCAGACGCCATCCAAACATCCAAATCAGACTATAAATTATAACAGGATCTTTAGTTCATTGTCATTCACATTAACATTGGTGACGTGCACTTCTAGCTCAGCCAGACTCTTCCATTATTCTACTCCTGACGTCAGGTCTGTAGGACATTAGTTTGATATCTGTGCCTTGTATGCCATAAATCAGGATATATGCTTTTCACTTCCCAGATTACTTTGGGTATGGGTTATCCCATGACATCCACGTGAATTTAGGATGGATTTTGATATTTGTGCAAAAATGGCATTGGAGTTTTGGTAGAGATTGCATTTTGTGTAGATCTCTTCAAGATTTATTGTGTTTCAATTATTCCAGTGAAAGAACATAGTTAGGTTTCCTACTTAGGAAGTAGGAACTTTCCTACTTAGGAAACCTAACTATAGGTTAGGCTACTAGGATTCCTGAAGAGTATATTGCACTTTTCATTGTTTCTGGTTTGACCTCTACCCTTATGTTAAATTGGAAGCATTTATTGGGGGGGGGGGGGTTTGCTGTAAATGTATGATGTCTCTGTTTTGGGAATTGTTCTTTGTTGTGTAGAAACAAAACTAATTTTTAATGTGTTGGTTTGTGTACCAGCTTTATAAAATCCATATGAGTTTTAACAGGATTAAAACAATAAGGATTCTTAGGAGAAGAAACGGCAGTGGCATAGGAGGGTCCTAGACTCATTTGTCCTGTCATGAGCAGCACTACGTAAAAGTGAGGTCATCCTAAATTCCCCAGACATTGGGCTGAAGAGTGACAGGAGAAACTCCTCAAGTAATAGTAGAGAAGAGGCCACATGGAAGATGGAGATCGTGTGGAGACATGGTTTAGGGAGGAGAGGAGTATAGCATCATGAAGGGCAGGGAGCCTTGGTTGTGTGGTAGGTTTCATGACAGAGGAGCACTCAGGTGAATGCCTAAGGAAGTTTCCCAAAGCCATTGGCTTGGAGAAGGAGAAGGGCTAAATTTCATGAGTTCTTGGAACCAGCACATCTTAAAGCCTGGAGGTTTAATGGTCAGCAGGTTTGGATGGGATAGAATCAGGAGAACACCTGGGTGCTCCTCGACAGAAGGCTGGCAAACAACCTGGGGGCACCCAGCATGGAAACAGTCATCTGGAGAACACCTGGAGTGCACAGTGGGGAGAGTATTCAGTAGTCTAGGAGCACATTCCTGAGAGGAAACATTCAGTGACATGTGGCTTCCAAAACATGGGAGCCCTCTACTGTCCTGTAGCATAAAGACTGAGCCCCATTCAGTGAGGACACTGGCTGTCTGCCTTGCCTGCAGTGGGCCTCACCCCCTGTGATCTGAGGGGACCGCCCTTCTCAGTGAGGCTTGCCTCAGGCTAAGCCAGATCAACCCCTGCCCACATCACATCTCCTGACCAGGGATTCTGCACAGCCGCAGTTCTGGTGGAGTTGATGTCAGGTCTCCTTTCACAATTGGAGCAGAGCTCACCTAGTTCAAACTGGCCACATTCAGGCCAGGGACCAAACACTGCCCATAGCAGGCAAGGAGAGCCCCTGCAGACCACTGGTCTGAAGGATACAACAGGACACATCACTGACTTTTCTAATGGACAGAGGAAAGTAGAGACTTAAAGAAATGCCAAGATGAAAGAATTTATCCCAAGGAAAACCAGCAGATAAGACCAAGCCCAGAGATCCAGTGGAAACAGTAGTAAGGAGCTTGATGGAGAATTTAAGGTCACAATCATAAGGATATTCAAAGAGTGAGAAAAAACTAGTGAGAATTTTACCACAGAGATAAGAGTTAAAATATAATTGGGTGTTTGGTGGCTCACTTGGGTAAGTACTGACTCTTGATTTCTGCTCAGATCTTGATCTCAGGGTCCTGGGATACAGGCTCAAGTCACACTGTATTCAGTTTGATGCCTGCATGTGATTCCCTCTCTCTGTAGCTCCCACCCGAAATCTTGTGATTCCCCCCTTAAAAAATTGTTGCCTCTTATGATTTTATTCCTACAGTCCGTTATACTTTGTCCTCTTTCACTTCTTCACTTGTCATTATATTCAGTCTTTTTTCTGTTATTCTTCATTTAGTTCATGGGCTGTCAGTGTTGTTTATCTTTTCTGCCAAACAGCTCTTCCTGTGCTTGGTATGTTCCTTTTTTTACTGTACTCTCTTTGATTCAGTTCAGTTTTCTGTTTTCCATATCCTCCATTCTTCTGCTAAGTTTAAGCTCATATGATCCTTTTTGTGATTGTTAGAGATACAGGAAGGGATTTCTGCTACACTGTGACCATATCACAGAATTATCTATTCGGATATATGGTCTATATGTTGTGTACCATGTTATGTTTTCATGGGGAAATGAAGTCCTGATGACTCCTTGTCAGTCATCTTTCTGACATTATCTGAGTGACTTGATGCTTCTGTATTAGAAGTCTTCAGTATATTCTTCTGAATGTAGTAAGTGCAATGGTTTTACTTTTATTTTGTATCTTTCAGCTGTATCTTCACATGACACCAAGAGTTTCCTGCTACAGTGGAGCATAGAAGGTTCTTTCCAGAATGGGTCAATGCAGAGATACAAAGATAGTGCTTTTGAGATTTTACACTTATGCACAGACTGGGACAATGATGGGGAGAGTGAAGGGCATCAAAGAAATCCTGGACGATACACCCAAACCAAGGCAATTGCCCTTAATGAGAATCTCACTGCCCCAAATGGTGAAAGATATAAACCGCTATGGAAGACCTCCCTTTTTAAGTCAACTGTTTCTGCAGAGCAATGGGTCTCTGTCAGCACAAGCTCCAATCAGATAGTCAACCATATTGATTTGTGGACAGACCCCTTGGAACATCTGGAAAGTAACCTAGTCCATGATGAGAATAATGATTTGAGCCATTTGGAAAATAGGATTGGTCTGACTTTAAATCAGAGATTTAGAAATGAAGAACAAAGTCCTCAGTGGGATCCATATGAGAGGGACTTCACTGAGGAGTCGACCCTACAGTATGACCAGAGGCTTTTCACTGGAGACAGAATTGCTCAATGCACTGAATCTGAGAAAACATTGGACCAGGGCTCCAGTGTTCACAGATGTGTCAGGGCTAGTTTTGCAGAGAACCATTATGAATGTGATAAATGTGGGGAAGTCTTTCATCCAAGCTCTAACTTCAGTATACATAATGGTCACCATTTGGGAGACAGTCCTCATAAATATAATGAATGTGGGAAAGCTCATAACCAGTCCTCCAGTGTTGGTGATCATCAGAGAATTCCTGAGGGAAAAAGCCCATTGACATGTAATAAACATGGGACCGTGTTTAGTCAGTCATCAAGCCTAAACATCAATGAGATAATCCCTCAGGGAGAGGAAACTTACATTTTTAAGGAATGTGGTAAATCCTTTGACTGCCACTCAACACTATCTCAACATCAACAAATGCATACTGGAGAAAAAATACACAAATGTGAAGAAGGTGGTCAAGCCTTTAAGGACTGTTCATCAATAAATGGACATTCACAGATCTATTCTGGAGAGAAACCCTGCAAACATCAAGAATGTGACAAGGCTTTTAACAATCAATCAGGTCTTAATAGACGGCACCAAATTCATATTGCAGGGAAAAATTACAAGTGTAATGAATGTGCCAAAGCCTTTACATCATGCTCAAAACTTACTCAACATCACAGAATTCATAGTGGAGAGAAACCTTACCAGTGTCAACAATGTGGCAAGAGCTTTAACCACAGCTCAACCCTTACTCGACATCACAGAAGTCATACTGGAGAGAAACCTTACCAATGTCAAGAATGTTGCAAGAGCTTTAACCAGAGGTCATCCCTTATTAAACATCACAGAATTCATACTGGAGAGAAACCTTACCAATGTCAAAAATGTGGCAAGGCCTTTAACTGCCTTTCACACCTTTCTGAACATCATAGAATTCATACTGGAAAGAAACCTTACCAGTGTCAAGAATGTGGTAAGGCCTATGCAGTCCCTTCACAACTTACTAAGCATCACCGAATTCATACTGGAGAAAAACCTTACCAATGTCAAGAATGTGGCAAGGCCTTTAGTGACAGGTCAACCCTTACTGAACATCACAGAATTCATAGTGGAGAAAAACCTTACCAATGTCAAGAATGTGGCAAGGCCTTTACCTGGAGGTCAAATCTTTCTCGGCATCAGAAAACTCATAGTGCAGAGAAACCTTACCAATGTCAAGAATGTGGCAAGGCCTTCAAGTGGAGGTCACATCTTTGTCAACATCACAATATTCATAACGCAAAGAAACCTTACCAATGTCAAGAATGTGGCAAGGCCTTTAACTGGAGGTCAGGTCTTGCTAAGCATAAGAGAATTCATTGTGGAGAAAAATCTTACCAATGTGAAGAATGTGGCAAGCCCTTTAAGGACAGCACAACTCTTATTGAACATCATAGAACTCATACTAGAGAGAAACCTTATCAATGTCAAGAATGTGGTAAGGCCTATGCCGTCCCTTCACAACTTACTAAACATCACAGAATTCATAAAGGAGAGAAACCTTACCAATGTCAAGAATGTGGCAAGGCCTTTATCCACAGCTCAAACCTTATACAACATCACAGAATTCATACTGGAGAGAAACCTTACCAATGTCAGGAATGTGGCAAGTCCTTTAGCTGGAGGTCAGGTCTTACTCACCATTACAGAATTCATTTTGGAGAATAATCTTACCTATATGAAGAATGCCGCAAGTCCTTTAGGGACAGCTCAATTCTTATTGAACATTACAGAACTCATACTGGAAAGGAACCTTACCAATGTCAAAAATGTGGCAAGGCCTTTAACTGCCTTTCACACCTTACTCGACATCATAGATTTCATACTGGAGAGAAACTTTACCAAGTCAGGAATGTGGCAAGGCCTTTAAGGTGAACTCACACCTCAGTCGACATAGCAGAACTCCTACTAGAGCGTAACCCATAAATTCCAAAAATGTGGCAAGGCCTCTAACTGGTGCCTAAGGCTTAGCATCAGAGAATTTGTAATAGAAAGACATCTTACCAATATCAAGACTGTGGCAAGGCCTTTAGACATAGCTCAGGCCTTACTCAACATTACAGAATTCATACTGAAGAGAAACCTTACCAATGTCAAGAATGTAGCAAGGCCTTTATACACAGCTCAACCCTTACTCGACATCACAGAATTCATACTGGAGTGAAACTGGTGAATGTCATGAATGTGGCAAGACCTTTAACTGGAGGTCAAGTGTTACTGAGCATCAGAGAATTCATCCTGGAGAGAAACTTTAGCAACGTCAAGAATGTTGTTAGGTGGGGCTCCTGGGTGGGTCAGTTGGTTGAGTGACTGCCTTCAGCTTAGATCATGATCCCGGACTTCCAGGATTGAGTCCCACATCTGGCTCCCAGGTCCTTGGGGAGTCTGCTTCTCCCTCTGACCTTCTCTCTCATGCTCTCTCTCACTAATTCTCTCTCAAATAAATAAATAAAACCTTTAAAAAAAAAAAGAATGTTGTTAGGCCTTTACATGCACTCAGTTCTTACTAAATATCATAATATTCATACTAGGTAGAGGGCTTACCAGTGTATAGAATGTAAGAACAGGGGCACCTGGGTGGCTCAGGCTGTTACGGGACTCCCTTTGGCTAAGGTCATGATCCCTGGGTCCCGGGATTGAGCTCTGCATCGGGCTCCCTGCTCAGCGGCCATCGTGCTTCTCCCTCTCCCCCTGCCTGACCCTCCTCTCTACTTGTGCTCTCTCTCCATCTATCTGTCAAATAAATAAATAAAATCTTGGAGAATGAAAGAAAAAAAAGAATGTGGGCAAAATTGGTTAAAGAGTGCTCACCGATTCATGCCAACAAGAGAATTCATATTAGACAATAACCTCACAAATATAACCAGTGCAGCAAGGCCTTTGTCCAGCATGCATGTCTTCTAAACAGAGAATTCATACTGGAAAGACACCTGATGAATAATGTGGCCAAACCTCTAGCAGGCACACAACCCTTACTGCACATCACAGAATTCACCCTGCAGAGAAAATTATGGATGTAATGAATGTGAGAGAGTGCCTAAGGACTGCTCCTTCCTCACTGCATATGAGAGATTTTAAATAGGAGAGTAAGTGTACAAATGCTAAGAATGTGTCTGACCTCTCAGTGGGACTCCCAACTTTCTTAAATTAACATCATTGTTTTCATATAGGAGTGAAAGTCTGAAATGTAAAGAATGTGGCCAACTGGAATTCAGTGCTTACTCAATATGTCAAAATGCTTACTAGATTCAAACCCTTGGAACATCGTGAATGTGGAGAGGCCTTCATTTAAAGCACCAGAGAGTGCTTTAAGGAAAGTCAATTGAAAGTTAGCAATGCTTAGAAAACTATTGAATTGAACATCAGATGCCAATGAATGTTACAGAAATCAAGCCAATGGAATACATTATTCACCCTACTCAGACATTACCCTGCATGAAAATAGTGATTATAAGGAGAAATCAGACTTCAACACTTAGAAAATGTATATGGTAGTCTGTTGAACAGATTTAGGGGATGGACTTTTTCATATATATAAGGATTTCAGTATTTTTTAATTTTTACATTAACCCTATTTGAGATTTGTTACTAACAATATTAATATGTTTCCTCTAAAATCACTCCGGAAAATTCCACTGTTCTTTGTCGGTTTATAAGAACACGGGGCTGATTGTTGCTTTGTCGAAGATATTAGATGTCCTGCTCCATTAAGTGGGACTCGTGCGTACCTAATTTTCCATGCAAGAGGACCATATGATATACAACATATGAAGTACATCTCAGTGGAGATGGTGCTTATGGTTATAACATTGACGTAAGATTCCACGGGATAGGTGTTCGGAGCACACACTTCTGGATGTATTGACACTAAAGAACTTCCTCAATGTTAGAAATAGGAGGTTTTCCTAATTGTTCTTTAAGGAAAAAGAGGTAGCCATACAGTAAACTACAAATGTATCTTCCTAAGTGCAAACATTAGAGAGTATGACTTGATGTGGTTAAATGAGGAAATCCTGACAGATGACTGCTGGAGGGTAGCGAACTCTTCCCTACAATGCCATACCATTGGACAGACACATTTCTGAGCAATGTACCTCAGTCGTGAAATTTTTGGAAATAAGTACTCCCACATCCTTCTGACAACACTTGAATGCTTTTGCACATGTGTGTTCTGTATTTCGAATGGAGACAATAGAGTGGATTTGATATGTATTACTCAGTGTATGTATGAAATTAATGTATTTTCATTAATAAAACAGTGGTGTTTCTTCCTTAAAAGAATTTACTTATTTTGTTGACAGAAAGTGATCACAAGTAGGCAGAGAGGCAGGCAGAGAGAGAGAAGAGGAAGCAGGCTCCGGGTGGAGCAGAGAGCTCAATGTGGGGCTGGATCCCAAGACCCTGGGATCTTGACCACAGCTGAAGGCAGAGGCTTTAACCCACTTAGCCAACCACGTGCTTCAATAAGACACTGTTTTTTAACATATGGATATGAGTATGTCATGAATGATGTGCTATTCTACGTCTAGTGTTCATCTATTTCATTGCGGGTTGTACGGAGCTGATCGAATCCATCACCTGTTTGGTACTGGAGTAAAACAATATACCTAGGACACCATTTTCCCAGTGCTCTGAAGGTTTAAGGGATATTTGATTCTTTTTCCCCAGTCTATGCTATGATTTTCTCCTCTTTGTGAATAGGATGATATTACTGTATGTGTATTACCAAGCTTTGTAACATAGAGGTATTGTTGGTGTTTTAGCTCATGTACTCCATGATACTGCTACTTGGTATTGATTTTGTGTAGCCAGTAGTGTTGTCAGGGCCTTGTACTGACAGGAGCCCTTCTCACTAGTGCATTTCCCAGTCAGCACGGTATAGGGTGACAAGTTAGTGGAATGTCTCATATGACATCTGTACTCTATCCTAGTGAGCCACCATTACTCCTTTCTTCCAATGCCTTCCTTCCCATGTTCCATAGAGAAGACTCCTCATCCCCCAGAGCTTCCCTAAATCTGTTTTAGTCAGAATGGCATATTCTGGACATAGACTTGGGACTCCATAGTACTCTACGATGGCACCAAATGAAAGTATGTGCCCCACGTCCTGCATTGAGGTTGGTTTTCATGTGTCTGTGAGGTACACATGCACATATGACCACACTATGTATGTCATAGATACCCCATAAGGAAGAGAAATATTTCCCAATTGGAGTGATGTGGTAGCCCAGGAAGAGACAAAAAATATTAAAGAGGAGGAATTAGCATGTAAAGGAGGACAACTGTGCTGAGTTTCCCAAGTGACTTCCTAGATGTAAAAAAATAACTACTACTTGTTTTATGACCTACCTATCTCCAGATCTCCAGTTGTATTCACCCTCATTTTTCTTTCTAGCTATGTAGGAAACACAACTGTTATCTTTTGCCTGTGTTGTGGAGAGCATGTCTTCAGAAGATGCTTAATTGAGATTAGACAGGTGGAAAGCCGATGGGTATTAAGACATTTAGCATGGGGCTGTGGGAATTGAATCTAAGTGAAATTTGAGGAAGGCACCATCCTTTGAGAGAAGGACAAGACCTATTAAAAGGAAGTGTGAGGAGCTCTTTCCCGTGTGGGGAGGGACCCAGAGGTGGCTCCCTTTAGTCACTGTAAAGGCACAGGCAGCTCTTGCTGGTGCCAATTGATGAATACATGTCATGGGGAGAAGAGATGGCTAATGTGGTTTTCTCAAGAGTGGGTAAGTTCTGCCTTATCCTGATGATTTGATCGACCTCCTGCGTCTTCCTGAGGACTAATGCTGTTGGATGTCAGTGATGACTGTACTATCCCTGCCTAGATCCATGACAAGGGTTGGAGGAGGGTGTTTAATGATGCAGTCATGCAGGCAGCTTTAAGATGTCACATGGTAGAATAGATGTTTGAGATGAAGAAGGCTTCTGGACAGTGGAATAGGCTGGAACAGCTGGGTATGTGCTGTGGTTGCTCCCTCATTTCCCAGGTAGGTAACCCCAGTCGAGGTCCGATCCAGTGTGGTTGGGAGATCCTTCAGGGAAGCTGCTTCCCTGCTGTGCTGAACCTTCCTCCCTTCTTCAGTGCCATCATGAATGTAGTACTATGGGTGTCTACGTGGCTCAGTCATTAAGTGTCTGCCTTAGGCTCAGGTCATGAGTCCTGCATCGGGCTCCCTGCTTGGTGGTGAGTTGGTTTCTCTCTCCTCTGCCCATCACCACCCAGCACCACAAGTGCCTCTCTCATTCTCTCAAATAAAATATATTTCTTAGAGATTTAATTTATTTATTTGACAGAGAGAGGGAGTTCACTAGTAGGCAGAGTGAGAAGGGAAAGCTTGCTCCCTGTTGAGCAGAGAGACTGATGTGGGGCTCAATCCCAGGACCCTGAGATCATGAGCCAAAGGCAAAAACCCAACCCTCTGAGTCTCCCAGGAACCCCAGCAGTTGATATCAGATAGAGTTGCCTAGGGGCACCTGGGTGGCTCAGTGGGTTAAAGCCTCTGTCTTGGACTCAGGTCATGATCCCAGGGTCCTGAGATCAAGCCCAGCATGGGGCTCTCTGCTCAGCAGGGAGCCTGTTTCCCCCCACACCCCACCTCTGCCTCTTGTGCCTACTGCTCTGCATACTTGTGATCTCTCTCTCTCTCTCTGTCATATAATTAAACAAAATCTTAAAAGTAAAAATAAAAAAAAAAACCCACTTGCCTACCTAGAACAGACACATGAAAAAATGTTCATCATCATTAACCATCAAGGAGATTCAAATCAAAACCACATTGGGATACCACCTTACACCAGTTACAATGGCCAAAATTAACAAGACAGGAAACATCAAGTGTTTCAGAGGATGTGGAGAAAGGGGAACCCTCTTACACTGTTGGTGGGAATGCAATTTGTTGCAGCCACGTTGGAAAACAGTGCGGAGATTTCTTGAGAAATTAAAAATAGAGCTTTCCTATGACCCTGCAATTGCACTCCTGGGTATTTACCCCAAAGATACAGACATAGAAAAAAGAAGCGCCATCTGTACCCCAATGTTCATAGCAGCCATTGCTACAGTCACCAAAGAGCCAAGATGGCCTTCAACTCATGAATGGACAAAGAGGATGTGGTCCATATATACATACATATATATGTATACAGTGGTGTATACATGGTCCATATATACAATGGTCCATATACACAATGGTGAATTATGCCTCCATCAGAAAGGACGAATACCCAACTTTTGTATCAACATGGTCAGGACTGGAGGAGATTATGCTGAGTGATCTAAGTCAAGTAGAGAGAGTCAATTATATGATTTCACTTATTTGTGGAGCATAAGGAATAACACGGAGGACATTGAATGACGCAGAGGAGAATTTAGTTGGGGGGCATCAGAAGGGGAGATGAAGCATGAGAGACTGGTTTCTGAGAAACAAACTGAGGGTTTTGGAGGGGGTGGGTGGGAAGTTGGGTGAGCATGGTGGTGGGTATTATGGAGGGCATGTATTGCATGGAGCACTGGGTGTGGTGCATAAACCATGAATCTTTGAAAAGTGAAAAAATAAATTACAAAAAAAAAAAAGAGTGGTGCACCTGGAGGGACAAACATTATTTCATAAATATTTAGTCTCTCCTTTCTCCTCTGAATACAATCCCCTCCTTGGAAATTCTAAATCCCATCCACTCCTCCTTAAGTCACCGTGACAAAGAAGTCTCACCTTCTCTTTGAGCCTCATGTCTTTCTCATGCCTATACTTAAGAACTTGTTTTTTCTTGTGAAACTGTGTGACGTCATTGAGAACAGTGCAGGAAAAACAAACCTTCCTCTCTCACATTCATTCTGTTGTGTGAACTGACCTCCATGCTTCACACCCGGAACAGAATATGCAGACAGAGCTGGGGATCAAGGGCAGCTGGAGCTTCATTGTTTTGCCAGCCAAGGAGGCCTCAGCAGGTCGGGGCATGAAACCCACAGCCCACCCAGAGGAAGGGGCTGGGGCTTTGTAGGAAAATACTGGATTATGTCCGAATTCCAGAGGAATTGTATCTGTGCTACCAGTGCTGTTAATCATGTTGTCGGGGTGGAACCAGGTTCCTGAAACAAAGGGCTGAGAAGTGAGGAGAAGAGGTCTATGGAGAAGAGAAAGGTTACTTATTTGGAAATGGAGTCTCACTGAAGCATTAATTGCTTTTTTCTTTGTTCAACCTAATGCTTTCCAAGTGGTTTTCATTTCAGTCAGCAAGACAAAGGTTGTAAGAAGACTGCATACTTTACCACTTTACATACTTTACCACTCAGTGTTTTCTGGAATGGCTAAAATAAAGAAAAAGGATAACATCCAATTTTCCTGAGAATGCTGAGAATTAGAATTCTCGCATATCGCTGATGGAAGGGTTAAAAAAAAAAAAACACATGCAGTGTGGAAAACTGTGTGGCAGGTCCTTATGAACAGAAACACCTACTGAAGGGGACTATTTGTCACCCAAAAATATGTATCTTTGGCCTGAGCATTATTTTCAGCCGGTTATTTTGAATCAAAGGTAGATAAAGGAAAAGCTCTGAAATCCCCTGTTACTTTGAAAGAGACATTTGCATTTCTACAGGAAAGTTCAGTCTGTCAGGTGTCTCCCTTTGTGTAGCAGAAAGAGGGAGAGGGTGTCAGTCTCCCAAATCTCTCATGGTGGAGAAGGCAGGGCTCGAACTCTGTTCCCAGCCCCAGCCTTGGTTCCCCTGCTTGGCCTGGTCACCTCCCCAGTTCCTTCCCAGCAGGGTCACCTGTGGAGTTTCAGGAAGGATCCTCTCTGCAGGACTCCCCCTCAGATTCTGTCAGTTGGTTTGGGCGAAAACAACACTGTTGTGTTAATTAAGGGCTCCAGGAGATTCTCCGTGAGGCCAGGGGGGAGCCTGAGGGCTTTTGGTGGTTTTCTGAGAGTGGATTTGTGGCTTTGGTCCTGGAGGGGTGACAGGGTCTTTGCTCCGTGAGTCTGGGAGGGTCGGGTCCCTGCAGCCCGAGGTTCCAATGCTGACATTGAAGATGTGAGTGGAGGTGGGAGGGGACCCCTCACTCCCCACAAAGCAGGTGAGGAAAATGCAGGAATGGGTGTGCTCATGGGAGCTCAAAGTTTCTGAGCTGCTCCGGACACAAAGGACTGGAAGTTGGGCGTTTTCTGCATCTCTGAGTCCTGCCTGCGGGTGAGCGTTGAGGAGAAGGAGGTTGGTTGCTGGATTTCAGGGCATTTTCTCCTCATGCAACTGTGATTTCCCCCAAGATCCCTCGTGAGGACGAAATCTAGAGGTGGAGGTGAAGACAGAAATGGCTGGTTCTCAGGTTAGCCTCATGTCCCCGCGGAGCCGTGTCCTCTGTTTCTCCACAGACCCTCGAGTTTAGAAGCTGCAGATGTGGATGCCTCGAGTCCGGGTGCTTCTCACTTCTGCGTTCACCTGTTTTTAAGACCTGGTCAGAAGTGATATTCATGGTTAGATCTTTAGAATGCTTATTTATGTCCCAGAGCCTTCTGTTCTGTGTCCCCAACCTGGCTTCGATAGGGCATCAGTCATTGTCACTTTGACTTAAAGTCCCACAAGGAGTGACAATATTCTGTTGGTGGCAGATCCGGAAAGGAAGGTGTTGAGTCTGAGATTCCTATGGCTGATGAGGTCTGGTCCTGGGATATCAGGAAGGGAAATCATTTCTCATTTGGGCTCGTCTGGATTCTCGATCAGCTGTGTGCAGCTGGGGAGTAAGGAAATGCAGACATAAACTCAATGAGTATGAGTCCAGAAAAACTTGGAAACTTACAATTTTAAGAAAGGGGGTGTGTGTGTCTTCATCTTTAGCACGTGAAAGAGAAATTCTGCTTAAAATCCACTAGAGGAGGGTGCCTGGGGGCTCAGTCAACTAAGGTTGGACTGTTGATTGCAGCTCAGGTCAGGATCCCAGGGTCCTGGACTGGTATCCCCGCTTCTGGCTCTGTGCCCAGAGGGGAGTTCGCTTAAAGATTCTCTCCTTCTCCTGCCCTTCCCCATCTCCTCTAAAATATAAATCAATCTTGGGGATCGAGGGTGGTTCAGTTGGTTAAGAGTCTGCTTTCTGCCTTCAGCTCAGGTCGTGATCCCGGGGACCTGAGATCCAGCCCCACATCAGGCTCCCAGGTCGGCAAGGATCCTGTTTCTTCCTCTCCCTCTGATTTTCTGCCTGTTTGTGGTCTCTCTCTCACTCTCTCTGAAATAAATACAATAATTTTTTCAAAATTTTATTTATTGTGGCACCTGGGTGGCTCAGTGGGTTAAGCCTCTGCCTCCACCTTAGGTCATGATCTCAGGGCCCTGGGCTCCAGCCCCACATCAGGCTCCCAGGTGGGGAGGGATCCTGCTTCTTCCTCTCCTTCTCCTGTTCTGCCTGCTTGTGCTCTCTCACTTGCTATCTTTGAAATAAATACAACCTTTGTAAAAAATTTTCTTTATTTGTAAGAAAAGGAGTGAGAGCACAAGTAGGGTGTGTTATGGGCAAAGGCAGAAGGCTCCCCACTAAGCAAAGACACTCCCCCACTGCCCCAATGTAGGAGGCATTCCCAGGACCTTGTGTCTTGGCCTGAGCAGAAGGCTGATGCCCACTGACTGTGCCACCCAGGTGCCCCTAGAAATATAATCTTTTTTTTTATAAAGATTTTATTTATTTATTTGACAGATGGAGATCACAAGTAGGCAGAGAAGCAAGCAGAGAGAGTGGAGGAAGAGGGCTCCCTGCTGAGAAGATAGCCCCATGCAGGGTTTGATCCCAGGACTCTGGGATCATGACCTGAACCAAAGGCAGAGGCTTTAACCCCCTGAGCCACCCAGGCACCCCTACAAATATAATCTTTAAAGAAAATGAAAATAAAAATAAATCTTAAAAATTCAAAGAGAAGAAAGGAGTAAACTAGCTATTTCTAACACAGGGATGCTGTGCTGTCTCAGTGCAGTGTCTCTGTCAGTCACTTGGGGTCCCAGACATGGGTCCATGATTGGGTGGAAGTCCTTCCAGCAGCACTGCCGGAATTCCCCTGAGGCAGGACAAAGGCGGTGGAAGTTTCCTGAAGACCTAAGAGATCAGCAGGCAGGGGGGGCACAGGAGAGCTTGTCTGCAAGGGGCATTGTGTGGGGGTTGCTTTTTGGGAGAAGGAAGGTGAGAACCGGGGAACCTGTGGGACTTGCTCCTTTCTGCTCACTGTACCTGGTTGTCAGTAGCCCATGGGTTCCTTAGGGTCTTGGTAGTTTTGAGGTGGGTCTCCTGCTGAAACTCCTGCTGGGCCTGTCTGGACTCAGCCAAGGGGACACTGGGGCCCTTCCTCCACTCCTTTGCTCAAGCCTGCTTGCCTAAAAGCAGCCTCTACAGATCGTATAGTGATTCAATTGTTTAGGTATATCTACTGTATTTCCAAAATCAGATTTATATTCTGAAATCCTGTTTTCAGTCCAGTGGAAACCCAGTGATGATGTGTCCTTTGATGTGCATTAGGCCCTGATAACATTTGTTTCCATTCAGCTGATGGGAACTTTTATTGGCTTGGTGCTGTCTGCCAGATCCTCCCCTGACATGTACCTGTTTTCCCTCCTGTCATTTGTAAGGAACATAGGATACTGAGGAATATGCAGAAACTGTTGCATTTCAGGTGTAAACTTCTTTCTTCTGCATTTCTCTTGCTTGTAGGTTCGTTCTTTTTCTTTCCTTCCTTCCTTTTTTCCTTCCTTCTATCCTTCTTTTAAATGTTTTCTCAGCTGAGAGAGAGAGTGCATGAGAGTGATGAAGGGGAATGAGGGAAAAGCAGATTCCCACTGAGTGGGGAGTTGAACTTAGGGCTCTATTCCAGGAGTTTGAGATCATGACCTGAGCTGAAGGCAGACCCTTAACCCACTGAACTATCTGGGTCCCCCTTGCTTCTAGTTTCTGAGGAGGAGAATGAAGTCAGAAGAGGTGTGGATGAAATTAAATTTCCTTCAACTTCCAGTCTGTTGACAAATACTTGAGAAAGGCAGAGTAGGACATTCCTCAGGGAACTCACAACTGCCTCAAGGTTAATGTTTTGTTGGATGCAAAAAGCAGCCTTAGCTTGACACTAACCAGACCTCCAGGACCTTGTAATTCCTCTTTAACATATGAAAATTGCTTCAGAAACTTGAATTCTATTCCTCAAATGTAGCTCAGGCACCATCCTTCAAGCTTGGGGCCCACTAATAGATATCTGGAGGGTCTCCTGACTAAAGTGTTACTAACAGTGAGTGGCCTCATCAAAACACCAGCTGGGAGGCCCTGAGGGTCCTGGAAACTTGCTTCCAAATTCCTTAGAGCCTCCTGCTATCCCTCACCCCTTCCCCACCTGACAGCATAGAACCAGTCACTGCTCACGTTCCTCTCCCCTTGCTTTAGGACCACAGTGTTTGTACCACGGGTATCTCAACAATCCTTTCTTCCTCATTCACTCCAGAACCCCAATATTTCACATCAAAACATGTCTAGAGTTTCTTGACATTTGGCTTCTCTCCAACATCCCAACACTTTGCACTGGACAAGGAGGGCTGTCACCTCTGTGTAGTCGATAGAGTTGACTTCTGGGAGTGAAAGTTCTCAACCAGGCAGCCCTCTGCCCCATAGGTTTTTCTTTAACTGCACACCCATCTCAGGGAGAAGGAAAGGTCGCATCTGGTTCTAGCTGGTGACATTAACTCCCACTTTCATCTTAGGAAACATCATGAACTGTGTCAATGGCCACTTGGTGACTGTGGTATTTATTACAGGGACTGCTGACCTTCAGGGATGTGGCCATAGAATTCTCTGAGGAGGAGTGGGGATGCCTGACCCACACTCAGCGGCAGCTGTACCTGGATATGATGTTGGAGAACTATGGACACCTCCTCTTCTTGGGTGAGGAAGATTCCTTCCAGATTTCCCAAAGCCCACTGAGGGTTTTATTCCTTCCTGTGAAGACTGTCTTTTCAGAGATTTCTCTTGGAATGACTGGATTCCAGATCCAGGCAGAAAGGGAAAAGAGTAGGAGTTTGTGGATGGAGAGACAAATCTTCATGATGTTTCCTTTTCAGCCTCAGCTTCTCCTTCCTCAAGGTAACATCATGGCTTGTGAAGATGAGTGGCAGTTCTCAACATGGATTGACATAGAATGGTGCTGCTTACATCTGAGACTGAAATTTACCCTTCTTATTATCATGTCTACTACTTGGAAGTGTAGGTCAGGATGCGAACAATGGAAATTCCTCTTGTGTATTCTTTTTTTTTTTTTTTTTGAAGTCTTATTTACTTATTTGACAGAGAAGGATGACAGGTAGGCAAAGGAGGCAGAGAGAGAGGGGGAAGCAGGCTTCCCTCCAAGCAGAGAGCTTGATGTGGGGCTTGATCCCAGGACCCTGAGATCATGACCTAAGCCAAAGGATGAGGCTTATCACCCTGAGCTACCCAGGTGCCCTGCCTCCTGTGTGTTCTAAAGGGACTGTTGGGGAACAGCTTTTGGGAAACCATTTTCTAGGATTGTACAATATTGTCTCTTCTCTCCTGAACACAAGACTCATGGGAAGTTAGAATCGGCAGCAATAATCACTTTCGTTTTTCCTCATAAACAGGTCTCCTCCTGTCAAAGCCAGACCTGATCATGTTTTTGGAGCAAGAGAAGCAGCTCTGGGATGTGAAGAGAAAGGAGACCGGAGGCTTCCATTCAGGTAGGTGGGAATGAATGAGGCAGATGACAGAGGGGAGGTCCAAGTCTGAAGGAGGAGGGTGGACCTTAAGCAGTGGTTCGAGTAGCTCTCCTTGAATGAATGTCAGTTGGAGACTTGCCTAGTTTAATGTCTCTCTCTTTCCAAGAGAACAGTCTGCTCTCCAACATTTTCAAGTTCTTGTATTCTCTAGGGATTCTCCTTCAGCTGTAGGGATGGTCCCTCACATCATAGGGAGAGCCAGGAGGCTCTTTGAGGGGGAGGACCCCCCTAATCTGAGAGCTTTCTATTGTTGTGAGGGCCTTGGAGAAGTTATCCTATTTCTGAGGACCTGTATGCCATGGCCTTTGTCAATTCTGGTTTTCATTATGGGACAAGTAGGTCAGGGTAGTTGTATGCACACTGGGGTTTGGTGGGGAAATTCCCGGAACACTGCCCATTTTTAATGTTTTCTGGCTTATGCTTTCTAATGTATGGAGGCTTTAATCTTAGTCTTACAATATTCAGTTTCAGTAACTTCATCAGATAACAAAACACTGCCCTAAAATGAGAAAATGTACTGCTTTATTTCCCTTCGAATGGTCTCTTTTCTTTTTCTTTCTTTTTTTTTTCTTTTTTTTTTTCCCATATAGAAATTTCTGCTCTGTGAGTTCCATTCCTCAGTGGTGAAATACTGTAATGTCTCTGTTTACAAGAATTCCGACATAACAAATGCTATTGGGGAACTAGCACATTTAGAACTTGAACTTGTAGCCTTTAAGAAA